GAAATTTTATGAAAAGAAAAAATAAAACAAAACACCATGTTGTTTTTCAAGTTTCTGATCACAGATCCAAGCAAAAAGATGTGGCAAACATGTAGACCCTTAGTAATTTGGCCAACAATTGGAAGTTATGAAATTGCTAGAAGTAGTTTGGATTTGGTCTGGCAGCATCCTCTCTCACCCAGTCCGTCTAATTTTCATGGCGGTAAAGCCAACCCTTACAAGTCACGTTCCCTTTTCTTGGACCTGTCCGTCTGAGTGGTAGACAACCCATCGCTCGCCACCTGCTATAGGTTCTGGAGCTCGGACGGACATACAACTCCTAGTTCATCTACGCTTGCAGAGAGGATAGAGGGGAGAGGAAAAACGTAGAACGGTTTCCGTTTCTTTCATTGCATTCTATTTTTGCAATAATGCAGAGTCGACGCTCGCGCCTCTAGGTGAACCGGGGTGCGTACATCCGTCTGTAGCCTAGACTTAGACCGGGGTACGATCCCCAAACACTACGGGGTACGATACTGCTACTTGTGCCCAGGCTCGGGCCCAGGCCCGGGCTTTAGGCGTCGGGCTTCACTTACTGGATCTGGCATTAACGAGGTGCGGCGTTACTCCATCAACGTCCACCTCGTCGTCCCAGCGATGGGCCGCGCCGTCGGTGGTGCCTCAGCAGCTCGGTCGGTAGAAGACCCGGCCAAAACTACCCCTGCAACTCAACACGAGGGATTGGGGGGGGGGGGGGCTGTCACCGGCCCACCGCCACAGGCCGCAGGGCTGTTGTCTGCGGAGGGTCGTTAGTCAAGTTATGCAGGACTCTCAACAGCCCGGATGCCCCCCCCCCCTCTTCCACCCCTGCACCGCGGATCGAGGGTCGCGCGTGTGCAGCTATGGCGCTATGGCAAGGCAGAGTTAGAGGCCATGTCAGACCCTGCCCTTCACGGCCTCTCACTCAAACAGCAGACATGACCAACACACCGCAATAGAACCAAGATTTCTAAACCAAAACCACTCGAGCGATCGGCGAACATAAAAACCACTACCACTGCACGAGCATGGCACACCCCAAAACTAAAAGAACGCAGAGTTTGATAAGGGAAAGGGGGGGGGTAAAGTGGAGATCTGCAAGCGGACAGCCGTCAGAACAACTGGGCTGTGCGCGCGATATTTACGAACCACCAAAAGAGAAAGCTGCTCGCAATCATGGAGGGTTGCGCGACCACCACCACGCGGCGCTGCCCCCAAGAGCCGATCCACCCCGGCGGGGCGGGGCGAGGCGGGGCGCGGCGGCGGGCGCCATGTATTATGCAGGGTCGCATGCATACAAACTGGCGAGTTAGCGCATCACGACGCGGCCGGCGCGGCCCCGCAAAGCGGCGGCACGGCGTGGTGCGCTAATACGCTGTTAACAGCCGGGGCCGCTCCCCGCGCCCATCACGCCCCCGCAGAGTGCATGCGTCTCTGTACTACACACTCCACCCGGCCCCCCGGGGCTGTCAAAATAAGATACGGTTTGGCAGACCGACCGACCGACCGTCAACCTCGGAACGACCAGGGCAACTGAAACATCGTGTTCGGGGGTTTTCTCGCACGCTGAGTCCAAATCTGTGTGCCGATGTCGTCCGGGTCGGGCCCCCGGGGACGTCATTTGGGACCTCCCGCGAGCACGCCGATGACACTCCCACGACAAATACGATTCGGCTCCAAACGTCGTGTACCTGGGCTGCGCTGGTGCATATTTCTTAAAAGTCGCCAAATATAATTCTTATTAATAACAAATCGCCCATAATAGTTTATTATCCTGATCATTTCATTATTGTCACATGGCACCTCACATGGCACTTCCCTGGCGTTGCCGCCTGGAGCCACACAACGATGCACGGGGCGGGAAGCATCCCCAAAGGATCACATCCTAATCGAGGCGAGATTGCCTACCCCAGGAAAGAATCACATCCCGCGACCACGATATGTCGGTGTGAGTATGCCGTAATTATTGCTCTCCCCCTTTGCCGTGCCGCGTCCCCAACCTACCCCAACCCCTCTCCTCCTCCCCACCCCCACCACGCATTTCCCGCGCCTTTATGGAAACGTAAACAAACAGTGAAATTGGCACGATCGGCGTTTCTGCCAAATACCGACAATACCTACTTATATA